ATATGGGAATAATTTGTAATTTGAGATTGAGAACTATGTATGTGCAGAAATTCGTAAGTAAATAAGTATTCGAAAGAACGAAAAAAAATTGATATTCTCATGAAATCATTTCTAATTTTTATAGAAAATTGATATCTGTTTGAGTTATTTGAGGTTAAAAATTGTAATTGAAGTGAAGAAACGGACAAAATATATCATTCGTTGAGAAAATAAAAAATTATATCATGCGTTAAGCCTGACTTTTTGATTATCTCTAAAAAATGAATAAAAGTTGAAATTAATTCATTATTTAATATTTTCACGTCGTGCATTTGATTTGTAAATACTCAAAATTACAATATTATGTATCTGCATAACTTTAATTTGTATAGAAGTTGCAAAAAACAAAAATAAATTTTTTTCTGAAATTCAAAAATTTTTTTTTGAAATTCAAAAATTCATATTTTTGAAAATAAAAAAAACCCCTATGCAAAAATTTCAGGATCTTTTAAGATCATTACAAGGTATCATACAAAAAAAATTGAGCCAAAATTTTAATGGCAGTCTTCATTTTTGACGATTTTCAAAAATTCAAAATTTGACAAATTTGGCATTTTTAAAAATTTTTTTCCAAAATATTTTTTCTTCAATAGCCCCAAGTGTCCCCTTTTGAACAAATGAAACCCCATTCCTGTATCTATAATAGCATTCGAGATATTGCAAAAACAAAATTGAAAAACTGGAAAAATCGCGAAATTTGGAATTTGTATATCTTTCGAAAAATATTTTTTTTTCTTTGGCAGAACTTCATTTTATGATAAAAGAAAACTTCTGACCAAAATTCATCCAAATCGAAAGGGGTCGATTCCAACTATTGGTCGATTTGACATGGAATGACCCATATATAGAAGCGTAACAGTACGTCATATGAACTTGACGCTGTCTTAAGTAATATTTCTATTCAATTGTTATAAATAATAACTATGAATGCCTATCGAATCACGTAGGTTTTAGTGTATCTACACATTGACAAAAGTTTTCTTATATTTATTGTTTAAATCTTTTATTGTAAATAAACTTTTTTTTTGGTAAAAACTCAACTTATTAAATAACTACTTAATAGGCTTTATTTTCTTAATTTATCTATTTATTAAATGCTGCACCATTCATATGAATATTTGAAATAAGTCTTGGTCTCGAATGGAACGTCCGTTTATGACTGTAGTCATAAACAGCCTGAGCAAATTATCATTTGGCACAAATCATGTATTCCATATACTTTTTAAGACTAATTTTCTTAACCATTATTAATTTAATTATAGTCAAACACTTATTCATTCGTTCTCATCATCGTAATTGTTTATTTTTTTCAGTTAAAATCTATTAAACAAAGTATTCAAATTTTCAGTCATTAATAGAGACGGCTTCATGTATATCGTACAATGATAAAACCGTATACTTTATAAACTGGCAGTGAAAATGAAGGATAGTTGACCTCATGGATATCAAATATACAAAGGAAGACATGGATCATTAATTGTGACAGTTTATAGTTAACTAGTGAATGGTCAACATCTTCAGTCTATCACTAGTATCAAAAGTACTTTTAATGAAAGTAACTTTAGAAATAATAAACAATCACGACGAATTTAATTAACTCATTTATAAGTGCCACAGACGGTTGGCTAATAGATGATTATCAAAGATACAGTGAATTTCAGACGGCAATTGAATAGTCCGAGGAGGGATTATTCTGAGTATTTGGTCTTGACCAGAGAGAACTTCTTAATCCAAGCTTAGGCTTCTTGAGTGAATCAATATCGCATTCAGCTTCACTAAGTTCTGGTCGGTCACTCTTTTCTCCGTTCCCATTTCTTCGAACTGCAGATCCCTGACTATTAACGAACGCTGTCTCAGCTACAGACATCGGTGGTAACAGCATTCGAAGAGAATTCCTGCTGGGAACGTGCCATCTTGAGAGACAGCCAATTACGAGTATTTAGAATTTACTATTGTTTTTTTTTTCGAGTTTAATATGGAAACTGATATCTCTTGTGCTCACTGCACTCCACGAAGCAATTTTAATGAGAAGCATTTTATATAATGACATTGTTTTAATTTTTTTACCAATAAATTTAATCTTACCTAGATCTTCCTCGTCTGGGTAAAGATTTCTGTTCACACATTGGTGAAATATCTGATGATGTGCTCGATGTACCGTGATAAATGAAATCCGAAACTGCTCGAACTGTAAAATTTGACATTGAGTTAATGATAGCTTGGTTAAAACAGTATCAAAATTATCGTATTAATATGCCAGCTGTTATCAATGATAATTGATAATCAATCAATCAATAAATATTTTTTCAACCATCATGACGACTGTCCTACGTCAAATCATAGTAACTCTAAAATTTCTTGACCTGTTTTTTTCGGTATTGCTGCAATTTTTATTACTTTAAGTAAAAAATTTGATGTTTTCATTTTTTATACATGTATCCACTGTATAGATAGAATTGATTATTAATTTAGAGTGTGAGCTATTTTTTATAAGACAAATTTGAAAAATTGAAGAAATTTTAGTTACTATATACAACCCGGAACAATTTTTTTCGTCTACACAGAGAAAAAAAGTTACTTGAATCCAGTAAATAAGTTTGAAGAACTTTATCTTATTAATTTGAATAGAAAAATTCTTAATTTGAATAAAGAAATTCAAGTAAATTTTACTGGATTCAAGAATTTTTCGTCTTGACTAAGGTAAGTAAAACTCTTCAAAATTATTTTCTTGGTTCAAGAATTTTTCTCTTGATTTAGGTTATTTTTTTTTTCCAGTGTACATACGTCTACGTAAATCAATGCCTAAGTAACATATGCTTGAGTAAGATTCACGTGTTGGAGTCTCGAGCAAAACCTATAGCTATTAGCTTTTTATTCTACGTATGTAATCATACTTTTAATACTTTGATACTTAGTTTAATTCGCATTAAGCGGGATAGCCACTGTGGAATTTCAAAAAAAAAAATTAGGAAAACGGTTGACTCTGAAGGCCATCCTTGCAACTTCCCGCTACTTTCGTAATTAAGCGCTCAAAATTGCACGTATTACAATTTTGAGCTCGAAAAGCTCAAACATATAATTTTCGTGTAAATTTAAGGTTGTACGGACATTAATGCACTTTTGAAGATCAGAAGCTAATTTTTTGATATGTTATGAATTGCTATCTCATGCGTATAAATTAATTTTTTGAAATAGACTAGAATTTGAATTTACGCGCGCAAGCGCGCGCCTTGACTATAGAGTTTGCATATATTTTCATGCTTATGATATATTCAACCAATCACGTTACGAATAGTTTGACGCCACATACATTTCATCTCTATTTTATATTAGGATCTGATAAAGGGTTATCCTTTAATAAACTATTAAAAAATTGAAATTTAACATGTAGCCTATAGAGACTATTGGCGGATTGCACATATATCGATTTATGTGACTACCTCATACACTGTTAAAAATTTCTATTGTAATTTTACAAGAAATGTGTTGGAAGCTAATAGGCAAAACATTTATTTAAAATTACAATCAGGTATAGTAATATTACAAAACATGTATAGCTCTGTGAGGTTACTAATTTTACAAAACGGTTTTGTAATTTTACAAATATTACTAAATTAGCTAAGTTTGTAAAATTACAATATTTTCCTTGAATTTAACTTTAATTGAAATAATGAAAAAGATAGATTTGATTCAATATTTGTTGTAATTTTACTTTTATGAAGCGCTGACTAGATTTTGCATCTCACGTAGACCTAATTTTTACAACCCTGATGATATAAAGTGAAAATAATATTTACCCTAACTAAGAATCGAACGCGAGCCGCGCGCTTGCCAGACCGATACCTAACACCCTACGCCGTACGACTGATAGGTGGTTCAACATCTTATTATTCTTATAAGCTAATCCTATGTGGTGATTGAGC